TATGCACAGAGTTCGTAAGCCCTTGAAATAAATTGGATATTATGACATTAATGATACAGAAATGGAAGAAGAAATGGATAATGATATAAACCTACCCACCTGAAAGTTATCTTGCAATAAGGCTGATGTGATAATTGAAATAAGATTTAGTGCAAATGTGTGGTGTTGAAAAAATACATTAGCCAATGTGGTATCTATGAAAAGATTATTCTGTGGAGGAGCAACATATATTGGCGAGTTAAGTGACAGCTGTCCCATAACACTACAGTATATTCCTAAGGTGGGAAAATTAAATAGTAATAGTAAATAGTTGTAAATCGTAGATGTGCAGACTAATCATACTTGGTAAAATAGTTTGAAATGCAGGATATCAATGCTCATGTCTGTGACTGTATTTACTGTATGCAGAACTTGAAAGTAAAACATTAAATAAAATGCAATAAAATGTCGCACAAAAGAGGGAGTGACTAAAGAAAATGTATTTAAGGGGCATTTCTCATTAATGTGCGATTTGGGCAGCTGATGCAGGCTGCTTCAGCATTAAAAACAGTCTCTAGACAATCACAAAAGACATTCCCTAATTTACACATGTGCGTGCACGAGTTGAATACACACCTCCATCAGTGTACAAGAGACTAGTGAAACCCTATACTGATGACAAAGGCGGCAGTGTCTGCCGCAGGATAATATACAAAACAGTGCTACAGTACGTACACTAGACACAACCCGCCAGTTCCAGATTTCCTGGGTTTCATTCCAGGTCTCATGCAAGGCTGTGGCTTGTCAGGACTGGTGTGGGAGACCTCTGAGGAAAACGAGGTGGCTGCTGTAAGCGGCTCATCCTTCAGGGCTTTCTAAACCAGCGCCCCCAGCTCACAGAGTCAGATGGAACATTCTGCTGTAGGAGATGCCATCCTTCGGACAGGATGTTGAACCGAGGTCCAGACTACTTGGTCCGTAAAGATACCATGGCATTGTTAATAATGGCTAATAATAGTGTCTTGGCTAAAATCCATTCTGGGTTTATAGACTGTAACCGGCTTCCCTGAAATTTGACCTAAAAGCAAATGGTGAACCAATTTCTCTCACATCTCTACCTGAGCTGTGTAGGAGGGCTGCTGGTGAAGCACAGTGCTGAATATAGTGGATCATCTCTCACACGCTGGGATCCTTCGGGATTAAAATCGCTATATAAATGCAATTATTAATTATTAAACCCTGTACAACTCCACTGAGGGGAGGGTTGTAGCGATGACAAGAGAATCAAAGCCTCTTCCCTGGCACCATACTTGCTTGTGTCAGTGTCGTCAGTGTAATAAAAGCTACCATCTCAGGCTGGAAAAAGTACCCTAAGATTCCAGAAACAGCATTTTCCTGCTCTGCTGGGATTTAGTTGTCTAGAATCCAATTGAACAGGATCATGCAGAGACAATAGCTTGCTCAGTGTCTTAGCTGTGGATGTCACAGCAATACAAACAGTGACCAAGTAAACACACTTAACACAAACAAGGACAAAAGGCCTGTAAATCTTACTGTTTGCTGAAGAGATGAAAAAAATCTTCTGATTCCTAATGGTCGACTGAATCTCAAATTTGTCTACATCAGCTCCTGTAGTGGATATTACTGCTATTTGTTAGAGTGGTTTTCCTCCTTTATTAAAACAATAGTTCTTATTTCTGAAAATCAGAAGAATAACATGAGAAATACTCTTCACAACACTGTAAACACATGTGAGGGTTAAGAAAACACCACACCCAATATTCTTACAGCCCTGAAATTGCTCCAGAGTAAACCCTCCAACTGTTGGATTAAAATGGACAGAAAAGTGGATTTGTGCCTTCACAAAGAACACGATAAGACCTTTTTTAACATGTCTTTCAGTAGACTAGAAAAATGAAATATCTAGGCCTTCACAGTAATTATTATTGCTTGAATATTAATGTGTATTATTAATAGTGTATATTATTCACCACATAGAATGATGAAAATATATTGAATTTTTAGCTATATTTGTTATATTTGTTTGTTAAATTGACATTATTGACTGTTTTGACATTGCATACTTTTGTTTATATTTTTGGTTAACACAAAGAATTCTAGAATTCTTCATTTCTTATTAATTTTAGATAGATGCTCTGTCACACATATTCACAAATTTATGTTAATTTATACTATATTTACATATAAAAAAACTTTATATTAATAGAAGTAAAATATACAGTATGAAAATAAGTAACATCTTGTGATGCTCACCAGTTTTGTCTTTTTTTCAGTAGAAGTCTCCTTAAATGTCTGTTTGTAAATCTATTTAAATGCACTGGTAACAGCAGTATGTGTTGTAATATACGGAGGAGAAAAAAAATATCACTGCAATTTTAATGTAATCACATTTTTTGCTCACTTGTGGAGAATACAACACTTTACTGCCCCCTGGTGTTTGACCACATGATACACAAATGCAAAAAGTATTGGGGAAGTAAGGTGACAGTCACCATAAAAACCAGGTGTCTTCTTCACAGTCAGTCAGTTCCAATGAAAACAGGGAGGAATCTGAGAGATTGGCAGATACTGTCAGGAATAACCTGTATGGTTGCCAATAGCAAAGCAGTCAGGCAACAAAACACAAACACCAGTAGAAATACAGTGTCTTCTCTGCAAAGACCTGTCAAAATATGATTCCATACCACTATGTTAGAAGACTAATATTGCCTTCTCAAAAACACTGAAAATCTCATGTGTATCTTCAGTCTGTATTTGAAAGGTACTGTATAAAGCCTAAATAACTTTTGTGCCCTTTTGCTTTCTTTAGGAGAATGGCTTTCTATAAAGAAAATATTCTTATTCTGTAGGCACGTATGTTAAATGATAAAAATAAAAACATACATTTTCTTTTGTGTGCTAAATCAAGAAAGGCATAACTGTGTTCACCTTGATGAAATATCATGAAGGTGATAAAAGCCATCAATTATTAATGCTCACATAAATGACTCTGAGACAAAATGTCCTTAGGTATTTCTGAATTTTCCATTGTGGTAGAGTTTCAGTCTGAGCTTTTCATATTTATACGTATAAATGTGGTGGGTTTTGACCACAGGACAAACTAGAGGTCAAGCTGTGAAATAGATTTGTCATCAGCCCACAATTTTTATGATTGATGAGATGAAATTTCTACGGTACACCATCTTCAGTCCTAATGGATCCTAAGGTGGAGCACACAACATGCCTGTTCAATCGCTGCAGCTGTATCCACCCAACTGCAGGCAGACAGATATTTATGGGGACTGCAACTGCACAGATGACACTTGCATTACTCCCACTGCATTATTTAATTAAGTTTCATCGTACCTCTGAAACTGAATTCTGATTCTCTGTACTGACTCACAAACTGTGACATGCCAAGTTTCCTTTGTTATGGAAGCTAAGAAAAGCTGCCTGCCCCTCTGAAATCTTCAGAAGGTCAATTCAGAGAAGTCTGAGTGGTCTCAAGTGACAGGCACCAGCTCAAAACAACACCTGCCTCCAAGACGCATTGTTGAAACATCACAGGTTTTGAAAAGATAATGCTTCCTTTTGTTGACACTACTGAATTACTCATACACAAAACATACTAGAAACAGAGGCCCAGGAGTCTTGCCCTTTTGTGTCTCACCATGAGAACAGCATTCCACCAAACAATCATCTTCTACAAAACAGACAGGACAATTAATAAAGCTTCAATAAACAAGTCTTCGAGGAAGATTTGCTCAGACCTTTCCTGAACATTTTCGTGACCCCTGTGTCCCACAATATAGAGCAAAGGTCCAGATGCACACAGATCTTTGCCCTCTGTAGTACAAACTGTGACAACAGTCCATTAGCAGCTGGGAGCAGGTGTGTATTATGCCACCTTGTGCCCGTTTGCAATCTGATTAGTTCAAGGGATCAAACACACAGTAACAAGCAACCACATCCAGCTGGTGAATATGATTTTCATAAGCATTGCCCCATTGCTTAAAAGCAGTGTAAATCCATCTCTGTGAAAACCATGGATTCAAATCAGAGGACCAAAACCGAAATGATTTAATGTCCATATTTAAATAGTGAATTTGATCAGGAAGCTTCAGAACATTGTTTATTATAGTATTATCTCTTTTTTAACAGGACTCAGAGGCTCATTGCTGTTTTCATTTCAATTGTTATAGGAAGGAGTAGGAAAAAGACAAATCATGATAAAATGCCAGATTAAAAATGTAGTATACATTCTATGTACATAAATCACAACATTTACTTCAAATAAACACACTGATAATTCAGATCAATAGCCTTATCATGCGTATTATAGAAAGTTTTAAGCTTTTAGACAAACGTAGGAGTACAGTTGAGCCATCAGTTTCCATTGAAGAAAAAATAAGACATGTGACGTACCTTTAGATGATCAGACCTCAATCTTGACAAGAAAATATGTTTCTTTCTAAGAATCTGAACTCCCACTCTCATTTAAGAACCTCGTCTCACATCTCTTTGTCAGGGCTGAGTGGCTGAACCTTTTTATTTTCTTTAAATCATCAATATATTGTACACTTACTTTCTTAGCAGACACTTGGAAAGCCAAATTAAATGGTCACTTCAAGATATGAACCCAAGACAAGGAAAAGCATGATTGCGGTGTGATTGCTGAATCATGCTCGTTACCTCCTGGCAAAGCAACCACATCTTTTCATTTCTAAGTCAAAAACAAACTTGAATTTTTTAAAGCATACTGTAGATTAATGTTATCCTAAACAGTAAAGTAATATCTAATTTGAAAATTAGATAATATTTTACAGAGCACATACAGTAAAGTATATGGTATTTTATTAATAGAAAATCAAATTATTGCAACCTGAAACACATGATATTGCTCTCAAAGACTTCTAATTTTTTTCATGACTGACCATGCAAGCTGAAAAGAGGAAATGATGAGAGGACAAGCACCAGGCTGTGCTGTAAGCATTCAGAACTCAAAGCAAAAAAGTACTCACGGTCATTGCACTGAGTGCCAGCATAGGACGTCATGGAACAGTCACAGGTATAGTTCTCCCATTGCTGAATGCAGATGCCCATGTTACCACAAGAGTCCTCTTGACAGGTGGTGCTGGGGCCTATGAGGACAAGCAAAGAAACAAAATAGCAAGACAACCCACTACCACATGTGGGGCAAAGTCCCATGCAAAATGCACCTTATCTGTCATGCACTTCTTTTTTTAAAGAAAGAGCATTCCCTCCCAGGGGGCTTAGAAATACTTCTGAAAAGATAAAAGTGCAACTCTACTGACCAGAGCAGTTCACAGTCTGAGACCTGTCAAATCCATACAATTATAAAAATAAGTAGTGCTTACCCTCCCCTTACTAATAATGAAAAAAGAAAAACAGAAACAGTCCATCATGTAGAGATACTGTATGGTCTTTTCACAGGAATACAAATCTGCCCACTTTAGTGAAATGTGCATATACAGTACTGCAATCTGTTTTTGAAAGAGTCCAAACTAGAATTTGGAACCAGGTGTGGGAAGATGTGCATTACCTGAGTGTTATACTCCCCCTCACATCCCAGCCTAATTTATTCACTAAGAGGGAATGCAGAAAGCATGGCGAAAAATGAAATTCAGTTAAAAATACCTCCTCAAAAGTTGCAGATAACCATGTGAAAAAAACAAGATAACTGCAGATAAACTACGTACTGAGTTTAAATGCAATTGTCTTATGGAAAAATATAAAAACAAAATTAGAAGGCTGAAAGAGCATTTATTGTGTAATGCATAGTGCACTAAAATACATTTAATTTCTTCCAATCTATATGTCTCACTTCCTGAAATATTTTAAGTAACATTTGCAAGTTCTTAATAATACATCAAAAATGTCATGAAGACTTAAGTGCTGAATTTAATTGTGAAACAAACAGCTTCAGATTCCTTGATTCCAGTTAAACAGAAGTTAATATGAATTAACTTCTTATGATCTTGGGCCATCTTATGACAATCGTAAATTCAGTGATTTAACATCTTCTATGATTTTCTTTTTGTAACATATATTTATTATATACCGTATACTGTATATACAGCATCCATGAAATGATGGGGAAAATTGGAGAATTACACAATATACAGTAGATGAGGATCAACATAATCCTAAAAGTAACTTAATACAGGTACAGCAATGGATAAATAGAGCATATACAGTATGACACATACTGTACCTGTATATCAGATAGATAATTCTACAATATTGAGGAAAAAACTATGTATTAGTCCAACCATTTTCTAAGGACTTTATCCAATACAGGATCACGGAGGAGCCAGAGCCTATCCCAGCAAGCAACGGGCCAAAGGCAGCATACACCCTGGGCAGGATCACAGGGCACACACAGACACAGACACAGACACAGACAACTACCATTATTCACAACCAGATTGCTTTCTTTACTACTTTGTCCATATCAGCTGTGTATTTCTCGACAGTAACCCCTCTACTCCTCTAGGACAAGGCTGTCCACCAGTTGAGGACAGGAATCATGGGAATCTGTGGCTGAGTTTCCCAGGCGGCAGCACAAAGCTGAGGGAGCACCTTTATTATGATACTGTATGTGGGAAGGTGAACCTTGAGACTCTGAGTGTAGTAAAGAAATATGATTTTAAACCCAATGCTGGAAAGCTTAGCGACTTATTCCAATACATAAAAGACAGAACATAATAAAATGAAATTGTAAAAATAATCACAATTATTTATATGATGTGTATTTTTTGCTTATATCTATCTATCTTCATTAACAATGTGAACTGTTTTATTTGTTAAATCTAGTATTCTAGAGGTAGTCAGAGGCACAACACATGTAAAAAATCTCATTTCAGGAAGTGAACCATTTTAAAAAGTAGCATTTCAGAATTGACACAAAACATTACACAGGGCAGCTTTCAGTCATGGTCAGAATGGAATTGAACCTTCTACCTTGTAGGTCAGCTTTGGTGAATTCAACTTTGTTAGCAAAAGAACAGAAAAGCGAAAAAATAACAAAGGTTAGTATGTGATTAATGGTGTTAATAAAGACTCTGCTTTACTAACAGGCATGCTTGGTTCATGTCAATTTGAAGCCTTTTCTGGAGCTACATTTTGACTCATGACAGCACACAAACAACATACAACAATCACTAATGTGTTAACAAGAGAACACAAAATTAAATCTAAAGATTAATGAAAGATGTGGAAATGATTTGGTTTCTTTAAAAATGCAGCATAGCCCTTCCTAAATGAAATGTACTGTAATTTGTTTGGAGAACAGGGACTTCTGGACATTGAAAATTTTTAAAGAACTGTCACCCAAAAAAGGGCTACTGCATACTTTAACATACAGTAGGTTTTGTGATCAATGTCATAGATGGCTTTTAGTATGTTAAAAATATAGAGAGTAAAATGTAATTACAAAAGAGAAATAAACAGCAAAATGAAACCACATTTCACTTAAAGCACAATCAAAAATGTGAAAGAATCTCAGATGCTACTGTAATTTGAATTAGAAATATATATTTTCATACAATATACCCCAGAAATATAATCATATGACTTGTTAAAATAATATGAGAAAAAAAGAGTGCTGATTTTTCTAAGTCGTACTGTATCCTGCCCGAAAACACAGATCAACTGCAAAGTACTGCAGATGTAAAAGGTACAGAAACAAAACTATGGAAGAGGGAGATTTCATTATTCTCACAACCAAGGGTGAAGCTACTGTACGTGACCATCACACACTGGCTGGTCAGGACATAAGGGTGACCTGCTGCTCAAGTCCTTGATGGGCATCTTTCCTGTGTCCCGGCTGCAGGCTGGTGCAGACTCCTGTGACCCAGGCCACTGGGGTGTGCTGACATGGGGAGCCACATGGTTTTTTAAAGGAAACATGCAGATCCACGACATCTGATGGTGGACTAATTTCAGGCATCTTGCTGCCTTGACAGAGCTTCTGGTTTGAGTCACTTTGGCAAAAGTCACAGAAATCGCTCTGCTTCCCCACGTCAGTCAAATAGCGAGTGTCTTTGTGAAGAGCATCCAAGGGGCAGCTGTAACTACTGTATACTGCAGTGCCGTACAGGGTGATTCGCCAGCATTCACTCGCTGCGATTCAGACATGGCATGTTGACCTGGGGTTTCACTGCCAGCCTGCGGGTTCAAACTTTACATCTGGATTTTATTTCTTTTCATTAAGTCAGGGCGCTAAGACGTAATAAATTGAAGTTCATTGCCTATCTTCTCCAAGCACGTCATCCAATTTCTAGACTAATGTGAGTTACAATGATGACTTTATGAAAGACATCATTCTAGCTCAACTAGACAGTACATACAGCAATTTATAGTGTAGTACAATGTACTGTACATATCATATATTTTTTATTCTGTTTAGTTATTCTTATAATATGCTAGTATTCTGTGTACAATCCATATCATTCTACAGCAAACCATACAAATACAAGGGCGTAGATATGAATACAGTACACAGAGTAACAGAGAAAGTCCAAACAGCTCTAATTTTGTACTCATGCTTCCATTCTGACATATAGAATCCCTAGTTAATAGTTTTATGAAAATATTTAGTGAGGACTGCTGCTTGTAACAGCAAGTACTGTAAGTACATTTTAAGTGTACCTTACATTGCTCATATACCCTCAAAGACTACCTTTGTAAGAATTTCCACAGTGCTCTCAAAATTGAGATAAATCCACCAGCCCCACCTGGTGCCTCTGCTGTCTTCCTGCAGTCCAACTGTAATTCGAGCCTCTGCATCTCTTCATTCCAGGAAGCTCCAATTGTCACTTGCTATTATAACTTAATGAACGACTGACCTAAATCCTCAAATAATAATGTAACAAAAGTGATCTAGCCCAGGGAGTAACCTTGGTGCAACCTTTTCAATGCTACAAATAATTATGAAGTCTTGCTTAATACTACTAATAACTGGAACCGTTTCGATGAACTCGACACTGTTATTTTAACACACACTGTAAGATGCATTGAACTTCTCTGGAAAAATAAAATTAAATTTACAAAGCATAGATGCCGTTTGTTACCAAGATTTCATTATTGCTCACATTAGCAGAGTAGCATGAAAAGTATATTAATAATCATTCAGCTATTTTCCACAGCAATTAATTCAGCTTCCAACTTGCTGTTTGCTTTTTAATACTCAAGCACCAAAACACACATCAGTAGACACACTAATGCTCTACATACACAAATCCAAATAATTTATTTTAATTGGTGCAACATTTCTTTATTAACAAATGTCACTTAAGAGGGATGTTTATAAATATCTTTTTCTTCATAAATATCTGATGATCAAAGCAAATGAAAGACAAAACAAATGTTATAAACAAACAGCTGTTTAATTTATTCTAAAATGTAGATACTGTATGTCGATTGAAGAGTCACAGCACATTAGAATTGTCTTTCTCTCTTAAAGGAGGGTAATTTTAAACTTCTATTCTCTAACACATGAAACAATGTACTGTATTTTGGTTTTCAAAATCCCTTCATGACATACTGAAGACATACTGAACATTTTATTTTCTGGAGCCTTCAAAGAGAACACAACATTTCTAAGAAATTTAACGTAGATTATTTCTCAAAACAAATTTAGAAATGTAAAAAAAAGAAAGATAAATGCAACATACATGATAAACATAGCACAGCAATCAATTTGAAAAACTGGGCCAATTTGATCAAAACAGAAAAGGTATGAATAAAATTTAAAACAGTGAAAGATTACATTACACACACAAGCATACAGCTGAGAATGGCTGTGAAGAATTGAAATAATGCAGATGTTTTGATGAGTCTGGAAGTAACAAAATTCATTTTAAAGAAGACTAAAAAACAAACCACCCAGATCATCAAACTCACAAAAAATAATGTTTGCTTCACAGTGTTAACCAACAATTCATTTTCTAACAACACTTACTGTATTACAAATGCGAAAACAAAACAAAAAAACAAATGGGAAATGCCGAGGCTAAAGAAAAGAGAAGATCTTCCTTCGGGAATTAATATAGTACGTATGAAATGACAATGACATTACAGATCAGAAAGTAAACGGTACATAAAAAACTTTTGGCATCTCTGAATAACTACAATATTGTTCAATATTCTTCTTTGTAACTAAAATAATGTTTTTACAAATATATATATGCGGTATATTTATCAGATGAGAAAGAGATTTTGCAAACCATGAGAATCTAAATATAATGTTCAGCAGATGGTTTAAAGTGATTGATGAGAGCCCATCAATTATGGAGAGGAAGAAACACTTTCTTTAGTAAGAGATTTTTACTTCATTTATACTAGATAATAAAGGGTATGTTGTGGCCATTTATATTTCTAAACACAATTTAAGTGAATTACAAAGGAAAGGCAGAACATTGTTGCCATTTCAGCTACAGTCTACAGAAACTTCAAAAGAAAGAAAGATTCAAAAACATAAAGAATTGCCAAAAACTCTATATTTTGTAAGCATGCTGCTTCATAACTCATTATCCTTACAAAATTCACTTTCTAAAAAAAAAGTAACAGAAATAAAAGAGATGCCTTTAGCCAATTCACCAAGAGAGAATTTAATCTGCAAACGTGATGTTAATGTTAGCAGTTTTAACAGGAGTATGTTCAGGACCAAAACTCTCTGAAAGCAACTGTGTTTGGGTCTGGATCTACATAAGCTTTTCCCTTTTCTAAACTAATGATGCCGATTAATTTGGGTCAGCCGATAAAAGTGCTTTTGAAGCACTTTAAGATTTTAAATCCTAAAAGTACTTTAGAAATGGCTATATTACTATAAATTTAAATAATAATTAGAACCTTACAACAGCTTTTAAGTAAAACGTCAGCAGATGTTTTAAAAGTACAGCTCACCACAGCCCTGTCCTATGTTTGTGGCAGCAGAACACACACAAACAGTTCAATATGATTTGTATTTATGAGATCGCTGGCTTTTCATGTAAAATTCATGAGCCAAAGTGTCTGATGAGGTTACGAAATATACAAGGTGAATTTATCATTTTACAAAAGGGACATTCCCTGAATCAGAGGTATAACAGAGGGTATTCCCCTTAAAGGGCAAAATAAGTAAAATGTTTTTTTCAGTGTTTTCCTTTCTATTATTAATTCAAAATGTTTTATAGAACATCAGTAATATCAATATTTTCTATCTTAAAATTTTCAAGATCTCACTGTACTGTAGCTCTACCAGGACAAAGGCAACTGTAAGATTATGTGAGTTTCTGCATGATCTTAGTGCAGACTTTGTTCATTACAGCTGGCTTTATACTGTATAAAAACACAACATCTAATATATCTAATACATCCTATAAAGGAGTGAACACAAAAAAAAAACAGATGGTCTGTGATTAAGGATGTTTTTTCATTTCACTTTAAATAGCGTATACGTTACCATTACGCATTCCAGATTTTTACAGTTAAGAATTCTCTCTATATGAATTTTATGTTTCGCAGTTAAGATGATCTTTAATTTATTCTAAGATTTATCCAAGTAAATTAAGAAGTGATTTAAATGTTTAATTTGGAAAAATCACAAAGCTTTGCTTATAACAATATACTGAAAGAGGGTTCAGATATTTGGACAAACCCTATACTGTAACTGGAACATTTTTTATTTACAACAACTGGAAAGCAGTAAATCTACGCCTTATACTGTATATGTACTTAACAGGATGGATTAGAAACAAAATACAAAAATATTTTTACCACATACCTGCACATACAGGTCAATAGGAGCTAATACCAGTTTGGACTTTAACAGCAAATAACTATTCTACTTGTTGTACTGCAGCTGTCGACACCCTAATGAGTCAGGTGCACAAGATGTCAATAAAAGTTCGCTTTCAGATCCCCTCTGGAAATCAGGAGACACTCTGTAACTTGAAATGTTTGCACCAGGCCAGTGATCGTTAGTGCCAGCTATACTTCTGTAACACTGCAGGAGAGATGGTCGAGTGGGGACTTGCTTGAATGTGCACTGGCTGTGAAGGAACAAGTACAGGTTATTTCCACACTGAAAAACAGAAAGGAAAAACACATTTCAGCTGCTGGGCCATCTTTGGCTGCCACCTGTTGCGGTTATTGTCGTTACCTTTAAGAAGGTGAACCACTGTGTTTCTCCTTTCTGTATTTTCAGTGTGGAAACATCCGTGCATGCTCCCCCGCCTACAAATATTTTATTGTGGTTCTACAAGACTGGAGCGGGTGTCCACCAGGGACCCTGAGCACAGAAGCCCTGCCCCTGCCAACAGCGGATGGCAGGACACCTTCAGCCCACAGCTTCAGCAAAGGTGGCCGCTAGCAGGGCGAGGACAACGGACCGCGAGATGTGAGGCCGGGAGGAGGAGGAGCTGCTGTTGGAGTTCATGAGGAAGAACGGACTGCCCAACTTAGAGCTGGTAAAGCCTGTACCTTCACATCCGCGCTCAATCTGCCCGCTGCGGTACAGGGCATCGTTGATCAGGTCCGGGAGGCGTCCGTTCAGGTCCACAGAGGCCAAGCACCCCTGGAACCCGTCCCGGGAGGCCACCAGCTTGGGCAGGTTGCTGTACATGCCCTGCCCCAGCCCAGCTATGTACAGGTCACCTTGAGGGGAAAAACACCACAGAGTCCTTGGTAATGGGATAAAACACCTGTCCCTCTGTCTGGACCAATTCCATCAAATCCGACTAAAATTCACATTCCTGGTGCTACTTCATATCTGCAGTATGAGGAATTTTACAAAACATGCAGCTGCATAATTTTAAAGCTGAAAACAGGTCCAATATGATAAAGTATATAATGTACACCTCTTCCCAATCAGTGAAACCACTATCTGCAACATCATTCAAGACCTTTAAAACCATTGTGGCTTTAGACAAATATTAGTTACTGAGATATGGTATCAGCAGAGCTCGTTGTTCTCTAGTCTGTGGGATCTACAGTACATCTACTGTTTACGTTTACATCAGGCAAAGGTAAAGATAACAGACCTCTGGGGTTTGATTTACCTTTAAGATCAAGATTTTTGGCACCATTGATAACCTGAGTCACAGCCTTGGCATCCACCTTCAGGGTGTGTGTGTTGCTGTTGTCTCGGGTGATCACAACGTTGTGCCACTGATTGTCATGCAGTGCCTTGTCACTGTTTCCCTTAATGACATTAGGCCCATTTCCCAGGTCAAATACATAGTGAATATACCTGCAAGACAGAGCACACACACAAAAGCAACAATCTAGATGATTTATTTAAGAACATTTCTTTTCCTAGAAAATGTAGTCTGCTGGTACCATGTGTTAGGGTGTGATTGTAACTTAAGCCTATTTCAGATCATCACTTACTGTACCTCTTAGTATAGAGTAGCTTCAATACATGGAGAGACAAAGGCACTGCAGGTACTCCACAGTATATACAGTACGGTATTTTAGCTTAGCAAGCACTGAAAATGGCCTGTGAGCTAATGTTAGCTGGGATAGCTTTTGCTACTGTAAATCTGCAATTAGTTTTGGCAAAGTCATTCCAAGTGCGAGCTTCCAAATCCATTGAATAAACCATTACCGGTCCTTTTCCAAAAATACACATACTGATCTGAGTTTTAACAGTTTTGTTAACAGAGTAGAAAGTAACTAGCAGAGAGTCCTAAACGGAAATTGTGAAACTAGTCCCTGAAAGATGAGGATGCACGGCTCAAAGAAACGGGCTCAAGGTCCAAGACTCCACACGTCAGTGACTCTCGTGCACTGCCTTACCCTTTCACCAGCTCCACAGCAATGAAATCGTTTCCATCTCCGCTGTTGAAGAGGATGAATCCGTCGGGCGTTGTGGTTTTGAACTGGAAGAAGAGGTGCATGGAGGTGTAGGCCTGCAGCGTTGCCAAGCTGAGGTAGCTGCTCTTGGTTTTAAAAGTGACAGGATCGGCGATGATCGATCTCATTCCGAACCTGGCATTCAGTTCACAGTAATCAATATCACCGTTTTTGCAAAGGTCGATGTACAGCATTCCATTGAACTTCAGGCTCTGCAGATGGCCAATAAAACTGGAAGGGATGACAGATATAAAGCGCCGCTCTGTCATGATCCCTGTCTCTATATTGTGGAACTCTAGACGAGTGTGGTCTCCCACCATTTGACCTAAACGAAAAGGAAAGAGAGCTGCCATTACTTTCGTCCTACGCAATGGATTCAGTAAAGTTAAATAACATATTCTATAGTTACAATGACATTAAACATGAAAAGCAAAAAATTAGTCCCGATATTGAGTATATTACACTTTTTTATTAACAGATTTCTATAAGTCATCCTAAATATTGATTTTCTTCACTTATGTACTTGTTTCTAATCATTGAAAAGTTGAAAAGTCATTTTTGAAATGTCTGTGTTTTTCAATACAAGTAGCTGCCTACAGTATAGGTATTCAATTCCATTTGACTCTATTTCAGCCAGTGTTATTTCTTGCGATCTAAGAGACACCTGCTGGTGAGTGACTGCTATTACACCTCTAGTTCTCACACTGTATTGATCAAGCCTACATTCTGTTGATACAGTCTGGGGTTGGGGTGGCAATTAAAAGCTTAAACCTATCATGTGCATTGACAGACTGTATCTTCAATTATTCACATTGAGTAATTAGCACACATCTACATCAAGTTATCTGACAGCATTACATGGCTAGCACATGTGGAGATATTAACATTGTTGTTTGCGACTAGCTCATTCTTTGAGAACTCTACGCATCCCCTCTGAAGTTGCATTAAAGCAGAAGAAAGTACCTTCAGCCATGTCATCGTCAACCACGAGCTTCAAGCGTTTACCCCTCCGAACCACCTGGACTGTATGCCACTCATTATCATTGAGCTTTTGTCCAGCATAAAGTATTTCTGGTCCTTTGCCTGAGAACGATGTTGGTTACAAAGTTAATTTCATTTTTAGAATAAAACCAAACCTTTGCTTTACATGAACGAAGCAGGTGATGTCTTCTCTTTTAAGGTGACTGAAAGCTACAGCTTCATGTTTTTAAAATCCCCTGACCTAATAAAAACATTCGGAAAACAGCCGAGGGTGACGCCTGAATACCACTTAAGCAGGAACTGACAAAAAAGCACAAATTTACATCAGAGCCATCATCTCCGCACCCACACAGCTGGTGAAATTAAAATGTGTGTTTCTGCCAATGCAGCGAAGATAACTACAGTATGTTGCACATTCACATCCAATTCAAAGTCAATATTCATCAGAATATTTTCTAGTTGTAGCAAAACAATTATCTCCTTTCTATCTCACCCACTACTGAAAACAAAGGTTTGGTTATGTTTTTATAAAAGTAGCAAAAACTGCATCAATTTAAAAAAATAACTTTCACATAATATCAAGAGTAGTTACTACCATATCAATTGAAGCTAAAGCCAATTTTCACTATTTTAAAGTAAAAAACTTTTTATTCTAATTTCTATTTTTTTCATTTACCATTAAAATATTCCCTTTTGTTTTTAAAAGCTATACTGTAGATAATATTCATATTTTACAAGAAGCTTTTACTCATAATCAGGTCTTTAAATACCTTTTACTCTTATTTTTTAGATCAGCAATAGAAAACTAGATATACAGTAAACTTATTTCCTATCATGGTTAAAAATAACCTTCCTTCTGCGAGCTCTGCATCTTTGATCTCTGTTGAAATCTGATCTATTTTATGCTGACATGATATGTAAAGTATGTAATGTAGAGTATACCACAATCTCATTTTCATTTATATGTAAATGTGTGTTTCTTCTTATTTTGTTTATATTTTTGTCTCCTATGTTATTTTTTGGGGTGATGATAAATGTTTTGTTCTTTCTGCCACAACTCTACTATGTGTTTATGAGCAACTTTAAGATATAATTAGAGGTTCTGTTCTCCTTGGGCAGAACAGGAAGATTACATTGATTACAAGTTCAGACCAACGGTATAAAAGCATGAACAGCCACCTGCAGTTGTTGCTGCTTTGGGGCCAAGAATACCCCGCCTCTACAGCTACAGTACCATTACAGCTTTTCCCAGCCTTATCGAAATGAGCACTGCTGTCCGAGGGAGCACTGCACAATCCCAGAACACTTCAGCAACACTGGTATGGGCCTTCAGCAAGAGCACCACAGCCAGGCCATGGCCAGTGTTCAAGGACAAACTGCTGGATGATTCTTAGCTTAAATCTGCTATTTTTGGGGCTTGATGCTGGATTGCAGTAACAGTATGCTACCTCTATGTTGAGACCATCATTGTACAAGTCACAAGACATTAGCCCAAACATTTTCCACCCATAGACTCATAAAACTAGAAAAATCACCAGTACTATCGTTTTCTAAGTTTTGTTGTGATTGTTCAGGAGGCAACCGCTTTGCTTAAAGCTTCTCAAGAACATGTAGATGATAACAGAAGAAAACTGTCAGAGTAACAGAAATAGAATTATATCACTTATCGGTGTGTAGGATATAATCCCAACAGATCCCAACTCTACAAACATAGCTGTATAAAATGTTAATAATTACTTCAGTACACAAGTACAGGTACAACTGCATATCTGATACCGTACATATTTTACATCACACAGACCACAAAGAGATTCATTTAAAAAATAGAATTAGTTCAAGTAATTATAACCTAATTAATAACTTATCTTTTTGTAAAAAAAAAGTATTGTCACTTAATTTACTGTAATTAAGTTGTGAAACTTTGAAACCCTAACCTAAAATATAAACTTCTCTTTTTCTACTAGATAAAGGAAAAAGGTGTAAAATTACTTCAGTAAGCAACATACTATCACGGCTAAATTAAAACATTTATGAGTTACTGAATTTGTATCACATGCATGCTGGCTAGACAGACTCTAGATTATTACTTTCAGGCAGGGCACACAGGCAATTCGGAGCATAAAAGTGTTTTTAATGGAAAAAAAATGATTGATTTAGTACCATGACACTCTATTAACTCTGTACATTGCTGAGTGTACGGCCTCAAACTAAAAAATCCTGAAATAAAAAGGAAAGGAGAAAACAACTTTTCCTTACTGAACGTAAAACAACTGACGGCAGATTTATTTTAATCATTCTAAAAATATGAGAATTTACACTCACCAAGGAATGTTGCACTGGCATTCAAATTAATGTCATGTACACGTTTTACCATGTAAAATTAAAGCATTTAAAATCCAAACTAATAAACAGTAGTACACAGGGAATTATAAATCCAGTCAAATATCAGTACTTAGCAAAGGAACAAGTAATAGGTTTATTCCATGCTGAAAAAAAGAAAAAACACAACGTTTCGGCTGTGGAGCCTTCTTCAGGTGTGAAAAAGACAAGGCAGTCTTCTTCTCACAACTGATGAAGGCTCCACGGCCGAAACGTATTTTCTTTCTTCGTTTTTTCAGCATGGAGTAAACCTATCCCTGTTCCTTTGCAGCCTATGCATGCTGATACAGCTACCCACCTGAAAAACTATCAGTAGTTAGGTTATACTGTAAAGTCATGTTCTGTGGTTCTGAAATGTCCATGTAAAAAAAAGAAAATTAAATAGTTACAGTCAGGGGGTGACAACACCACAGATCAACTAAAAATAATGCTTCATTAATAACTTCATTACCAAAAAAAAACAAAATAACAAAAAATATATTTTCATAAAAGATCCCATGAGACTCAGCTGGGAAAGATGCTTACAGTACATGAGCACAGCTGCAGCTCTACAATCCAGTTCGGGGTTCGAGTCTGGGCCATGTCGCAGCTGAATGCGGTCAGGGTTCCCTAAGCCACGGCGCACAACTGGCAGGGCCCCCCCATGGACGGGGGTGGAGTCTCGGCCGTCTCTGGACCAGGCGCCGGCAGGCCTACGCTCTGCTCCTCCAACCAGGGCTGACCCCCCTGTCGAGGCCTGTCAAGCCTCATCCCTCAGTCCTCCTTGTCCAGGTAGAGCCGTCCTGTGTCATCACCGCCTGCATCAGGCTCTTCCACTGAGGAAAGCCCGCTCCTTTGTGGACGTCCTCTCCTAACATACCGGGTGCCGTTCAAAACTGCTGTAGTATTTATGGTGCTTATTCCCTGTGCAGAATCTATCTCAGTGACTGTCCAGCAGTGCGCTCACATTAATAGCTCAAGAAAAGGGGCGGACAGAAAATCCATTGCTAAATAATTTGCTTACAAAAAAACAAGAGTGGAGCAGTAGTCAGGGCTCTGAACTCTGGACCAGACAGGCATGGGTTTGAATACCCCATTAACTGAACTAATTCCACACATTAAGGTACAGTATCTTTGTTAACAATGTTAACACAGAGCTGTAATGAAGCATTCTTCTCTACTTCAATAGTACTGTACTGTACATTATAAACCTACAATTCCAGCAGTTATTAAACACCTGTTCTACACACGTTAACTGAACACTGTAACATCAGGAGTCTCTGATTCTAGGTTCATGACATGCCCCCTATGCCCCTAAACACACACTGCATAAAGTGAACTCTTAATGAAGAGGATGATCTCAGATGACAGCTCCCTCTTCTGAAGTCTGAAGTTCAGTAGTTACCTGTCTCTGGGATGAAATCTACAACTGTGAATCTATCTCAAGATACCAGCTTCTATTATTTTGACAATGTTTTAAAAAGAAGAAAATCTGAGCTGCAAGCAAAAGACCAATAAGTTTGTCTGATTTCCAGACAGCATATTCAATCTGATCTGGAACCTGTGCAAAGGCAACATGTGCTCAGCAGCTCAGAGGCCAAGGAAGGCTGCTCTATCTTCATTAAAATGCTTCATTTCCATCTGCTACAGACGAAGTGCTGCCTGTGTTCGTTTTCACTCCGTTAACTCAGCTGTAGAGGATCATAATATGACAAAAACTACTCATCAAGCACTGCAAATAGTGTTATACTCCCAACATTAAGCACAGCAAAGCCACACTTTCTCACAAACCACATCTCAGCCTCAAATCAAATCCTAGTCATATCACTACAGGGTAACAGAAATCAGTAAAATGACATCTAATGGGCATCGGCTCAGTTAATATTGAGTTTAACAATTAAATCAAACAAAGGATATATAATGTACATATTGTACCATGGTACCTGTACATATTCAGGCTTTGTGCAGTGCATCTTCCACATTTATGCAACACATTTACTACATGCATGGAACATGGAAAGGAACTGATGTGAGACCATAAGTGACATTCTGTTTATAATAGTTTTTACATAACTAAGTCTGAGTGAAATTAGCACCTAAAATTAGGGCTCTAAACAAGAACTCAAGAATATCTATGTTGTGTTTAGAAAATGAATCACAGGTAGGCAGTAAACACTCCCAGTCTGTGGACAGGACCTAGAAGACAAAGAAGACGAATGTCCAGTCTTGCTCTGAAAGGGCCTACAGTATGTATGTTACAGGTGGTCATATTAAATCATCAGTTTCTAAGAATATGAACCATTTAAATGAGTTTAGTTAAACAAACCTATGTTAAATTAAGTAATTCAGAGATTGATAGGAAAAGTAATGGCTGTAAAGAGTAACAAAATTACTTGTTTAATTAATCAATAAACGACAAGCATTCCTAATCTTTATAAATGAGCAATTTGGAGTGATCTACAGGACTAACTGGATTAATGCTCTGCAGGACAGGCTATAAGACTGTGTAAGGCACACAGATCTCCAGGGCCTGATGGTCCTGCAATCTACCAACTGTGAGAACTGAGTTAAGGTGTTCATAGACCACTGACAAAGCTCCTCCACAGTTCCTCAACAAAGGGGCAACACCCATTAATAGAAAATAGCTAATTTAGCACCTATCTATAAAAAGAGCAACAAAACTGTCAATGTTTTTTAATTAATCTGATCATCAGTACTAAATGAAGGGATCTATAAAGAAACTGTATTCTTATTAACACAGTAGGTAATATGGGTTTAGTAAGAAGTAAGACTTGATTTAGCAAACAGAATTATTTGCCCAGCAGCAGCAATGGACACACACAGAATATACAGTACTGTATATACGGTGGTATATTTATGATAAGCTCCTCAAAAAAGAATAGTTCTGAAATTGTAGATGGAGGGCTTCCAAAGTAATGTATTATTTACAGTATACTGAGTGGATAGAACGGATAGAAAAAATCCAGAGCACACATAAGTGGTGCCTTATATTTGTGGTGATAAAGAATAGTGGAGTTGAGTGAGAAATGTAGAATTTGAAACGAAGGGCGATGTGTTAAAATTACTGTGTACAAGCAAGACTGTATCTGGAGTACTGTGTATAATCCTGGACACCTGTGTTATAAAAAAGCTGTTCTCCTCTGACAGAACTGAGTGCTACTCGTCTTGAATGGAAAACAGGCTCCTAATTCAAGTATTTAAAATCGTCAAAGACACACATAAAATTAACCCTTAGACCAGACCTGTCCAGAGTCAACAGTGAAAGCTACAGATAAATTAATCATTTTTTGTACAACGGATTGAGAGAGTTTGAAACAAGTTGCCTAGCCATGCTGTTCAAGGCGATGTCCTACAGTACCTTCTTCCTAACAGCTGAAGATCTGATCCTGAGATGAAAGGGAAGGACAAGCTGGGTGGCCTAATCTTGTCTGTAGCCTTTATGTTCTTATTTCTTATTTATGTTTCACTTCAGTCTGTAAAGTTCATATTCTGTATTTAGTAAGGGAAAACTCCAAGGGAAAAATTGCAAAAAGCCTCAATACAACCACTTTACAAAGTTAATTGTGCACATTAGAGGATAATACATTTCCATTAGAGCACTGTAACAATCATTGATCTTTGTAATTGAAATTAATAACTTACTAAAGATGCTGACTGAAACTAATTGACCACAGTCCAAGCTGCTGCTATGACAGATTGTACCCTGTTCTTGCCATCTGACTGATAGCAATCGTTTATACTGAGTATATTTTGCTTTTTAATTGAGCAATTCTGTGCAGCAAAGTGCTCACATTTGTGTGGAAAGTTATGCCAGTTTACACTTTTTCTGTTGCGTTACAGTATGTCTTACCTCTTTACTTAAAAATAGCCATAAGGTTCCCCTTTTCCTCTGCCACCCAGTGCTCTCAGCATAGTGAATCTCTCTAAACATCACTGAGAGCCTGGAACCGCAGTGCCAAGCGGCTGCTGACTGTACCTGCATGAAATCATTACCTGTCCTAAGTTGCTGCAAATATAAATGAAATAAAACCATTCAAGTGCTTTAGTCCACAGTTTTGTGTTCTCAAAAACCCTCAACATGCATAAAGAAAAGACAACAGATACCTTGTAGTGGTTTGACAATGGTGCAATTTCATTGCTTTTCACTAACATCTGCCTACAAGCATGGTCAAATAGCTATTTACTGTACCTCATGAATTAATTCCCAATGATTATTACTAACCTTTGGAAAAAGTGGCTGTAGTAAAACACGGCTTCCCATCACGCACTCATGTATTAGCTGTACTCAGACTTGAGGCATGGCCTGATTTGCAATAAAGATTCAAAGTCCTTTGATTTAGACAGAGAAAATAGAACTAGTTTCCTACTCAAATGTAAAATGTATTACTTTCACTCTAGTTATATCAGTTATAATGATAGCTAAGACATACTCTTAACATGGAGAACTATTTTTGTGATAAATGCAATCCATTTACATCCATATGGACTAAAGCAATTGCTTTAAAGGAGTTATTACCCCTTCGCTTAGTTAATACCATTATTCACTGAAGGTTTAAAAGGCCTGTTCATGAGTAAAAGCAGTTAAGGCATTTTTTAGGATAAACATTAAACATACTGTAGTACTTTTACTTGCCATACAGTAGGTCAAGGATTAAAACAGTAGATGTACCTGGATTTTGAAGATAAACCAACAATAAAGATCATGGACCTCGATTCTCTGAATGCAAACAGAGCTTGGCCTGATTAGACTAATGCTGCCTTTACTTCTCCAGCTATACACAACATTTTTATTGAGTTTCCGTTTCCTCTGCTGTACAGTGGGGCTGCTGTGTGTCACCCAGGAGGGGCAGCACTTCAGAAGAAGAGATTCCTTCTGTACATGTAAAGCACTTTTGAGTTTCTTTCAGATTATGTTAATTAATTATTAACATTATGCTAATATCTTATTAATGTAATAATATTTTTCAGACAATTGTTTAAAAAACGTGTGTTTTATTCAGGGAGAAAAACTATGGCATTAATAAGTTAATGAAAATTATGTCAAATTGGGGAAAAATTGGTTTCATACAGTATTTATACTGTTATTATTTACTCATTCCTAATATGCAAAATCCTTAAAATGATTTCTGTATGGGCTATCTGTTTAAATGTTATTTATCTATTGAATATTATTTTATATCTTTTCTTCATTGTTCTTGAACATGACATTGGATTTTGTGCCACTCATGAGAAGACATAAAGATGCAGAAAACTCATAAAAAGACCACGTTTCTGTGAGCTTCAGCCATGCTCCTTCCATCTCAGGCTCTTCAGCAGGTAATTCTGTTTAATCGGTTAACTTAGAACAGAAAGTTAAAATCAAAGTGGAAATATCAACGCAACGCATTGCTCATGTAACATGGTCATGTACTTCAACTGGATCTAATAAAACTATCAGCATTAATATATCCTTTGTCATTAACAAGTTGTGAAGTACACATACTTGTACATTTTCCCCACTTATTCCTTAGTTTCTGTCTTTGACTTTGACACTATTTTTGAAGATTTATGCAAGTGGATCTACACATATACTGTAGAAGGTTTGTACTCATTTTAATTCCTTATTCCAATGTATATTCTTCTGAAAACATCTGAAGGCAAATACAATTTCAGTGTTACTCTGTTTGCATTTAAAGAATCTCCATAACTTGTTTTTTTGTCATAGAAACAGAAAAAAGAGTGATGAATGGTGACTTAATAATCTGATACAAAACCCAGATTTTACACTTTTAAAATAAAATAAAAAATCTGAAGAATGTTTGTAATTAAAAAGACCAAATAGCATTTTTGACTTCACAGGTCTCTTCAACTCTCGTTATAAACTTAAAAAGACTCCATATCACGTCTGATTCTCTGACCAATTTACACAAAATTCTGAAACCAAAGTGTCTGGGGAAGCAGAACAAATGCTTTGCATATTGTCTATGCAATAAAAGGTATATAGAAAATTATAATTTATTGTGAAAACATTCATTTCCTATTTTATTTTAATGCTATAAAGCTGATTCTATTATACTGCTTAAAATGCTGTAAGAAACACGTAGTGTACAATATAACAAGGCAAAAGGCATCGCATCTTGTTCAGAAAACCATACCTCTTGTGTTCCTGCAATTATAGGAAGGAATTTCTTTTCCAGTAAAATGTCATGCAAGATCACACTTTAGTACTGCACAATAAGTTATACAAAATCTATTAGCTATTAGAAAAACGATTTGCGATTTAAATAAACAACAGTAATGATATACAGATTATTAAGCCACCTTCATTTCTGAACCTTTTCAGTGATCCGTGATCTATTGCTCTCATTTCTCAAAGAACAGACATACTGAATTACTATATACAATAATGAAAAAAGGAAAATTCAAAACATTGCTTTAGATTAGAAAATGTCAAGAACAAAATGAAACTTGAGTATTAACTTACTGGAGTTACAGTTTATCCTGATACAGTCTAGATGGGGAAGAATAAATGAAAGATGAAATTGCATCCTTCAAGGTTACAGCTGCAGACATCCAATAACAATTAGTCCACCCTTCCGGGGACAGACACATGCAAAAATGTAGCCATTTTATGTATAGTTAATTTTGTAATTAGTCCTAAAATGTCAGGTCTGATTATGTAAAACAGAAGCAGATTAGAAGCATAGACATATAATAACCCTAAATTGCTTTTTCACTAAAGCCATAACATAAAAAATCATACAGGCATTATGTATATAAGTAACAGTATGTAAGATAGAAACTTTTATTACTGTACTTGAAGTTATAAAATGGCCACTTGTAAATTACTAACCACATGGATTCTCTAACCAAGATTTTGGTGTTTTGATTTTGTTAAAGCTCAAAGACTCTGACCCCAATGTTCTCACACCAGCTTGTTGACTAAACAGGCTCCTAAAACTGTAGGTGTAATATTTAGCAATAAGGTGGTGTTAGCCATTTTTTGGTTTTGGAGCCATAAGTCTTTGAAATTCCACATTAGCCAGACTACTGGTATTTTCCATTTTCAGAAAGATATACTACACAAGGAATGAGGCAATAACTATGTATGAAACAGACTGTTCCTGCATTTACCTTACAAAAATGTAAGTTTACTGACAAGCAAGACAGACCACAATCATGCTGTGGGGAAAATGAGCTATCAGAATTGCAGAGAACTTTAAATCTATTTGTGATCTGTTTTACCCGAGACGTTCTACAGGACGGGCAAAGCAAAGCAAGAAAGCAATTACTTAAATTCCTGAGAAAGAGACAGCACTGTGCTGGCAATCTGGGCTTGTCTCCATGTGGTTAGGTTTATCATGTGTCGTCAACCGCAACAGAAAAGTGGGAGCAAACAGCCTCGATCCAATAAGCACCAGCACCATGCAGTGGCCATGATACCCTTCTGCTAGAACATTAAGAGGAAATCTGAAAGACCTGTACAGTATACTGCATTAATTCCACAGATCAGGTAAAGTATACGTGGAATGTGATCACGTGATCATGATGTCAATTCCACCTTAAATAAATACAGTACCTTCGACATTTTAGATACAGTACACAGAGGTTTTATAGTAAGACAAAAATAAAGTTTTGAATGCTGTTTAGAAATAAAACTGATCATACTTTTAATGTTAGCATATTTTGTTAGCTAGTAGGAGCAGGTTGTACTACAGAATGTACAAGCAGCAATAACAGAAAGCATTATTAAATGCATTGGATGTTAAAAATGTGGGCACTAACACAACTGAACAATCTAAGCCAATCAAGTTATTGTTTTTAACATCTACTTGTACTTTTGCATTAAATCTCAAGCAATTACGAAAGCATATTTTTCAGTTAACTTAATGGTGGGCTGCTTTTTTCGGCTTCACCTAACAATTACTGCATGCATCGAATTTGTACAAAGCCTCTGAAAAGTGCTTCAGGTTGAAATTCAAGCTAAAGTCCAAGGACACTCAGAAGTGTCTGAAAAGGAAGAGCGAAAGCAACCTGCTTTTAGGGTATTTCATATCAACATCTCAAGACGAATGAGACGGATCTCCCTACGCGTGTGACCGTTTCTCGCGGGCTCTGCACAGAGAAGGGGACAGGCCTGGCCAGCTGCAGGTGAAGCTGTACGCTCTGTTCTCGGGCTGTTTGCTGAAAGGGCCGCAGGCTTCAGGCCTTTGAAGGGGTGAATGCCATCTTTTGACATAGCATGGCGGATGTTTTTGCTTTAGCTAGAAATGACTTTGTTTCAGACAATAGCAGATGTACTGTACCAATAAATCCTAAAACATGACAGCTTTACATTGACCAAATTGAGACACAAATATTCAAAGTAACAAATTTAAAAATCCATCAAGACTCTTCTGAGACAATGAGCAAATGAAAGTAACAAATTAAGAAATAACTATTCAGAAAGTCACAGCACTTTACATATCTAAAAAGATAACAAAAATCCTTATTTCGTTTATATTTCCCATACATCGGTTAAATTTGGACTCTTCAAGACACAATCCTTGAGCATGAAGAGTGTCTGCTCTTTAATTTTTAATTAGTAATTTTGCTGTAACTTTCTTGAAAATATATATATAGGATATATGGAAATGAACATGGGATTATCTGTTCAAAAGATGGGCCAAACAGCAAGTTTATTAAGGCCAACGTTTGGATTTAATAATAAACGCATTTTATAAAAAAGACAAATAAATGAAAATACATAATTCACAGAAAATCCATGCAGCTTCTTATTACTATTATTATTAGTAGTAGTGGTATTGGCATTGTTGATGGTATACATATATTAAACACCATTAAAGGAGAAAGAAAGCAAGAGAAGATTGTAGAGTCCTGAAATTCAGGGGTCATACGATACCTAAATTAACAGTCAGTTTCACCCGGCCTCCGTCCAGCTCCAGTCGGAGAGTGTCTGCAGAGTCTCTGGACGTCGTGGCCATGAGTAAACCATAGGCGCGCTGAGACATGAAGCGCAGAGAGACGTCCTCGGCCTCCGTGTGCATCACAGTGGGCATCACCACCTTCATATACATGCTCCCATCATAGCTGAGGATCGAGGCCTCTGCAGGCGCAGGAGGAGAAAGAAACAGCACTGAAGCAGAGATTGTGAAAGACTTCCAGACGCTAAGTCTGCTGTCGGCAGCTGAAAGGCCAAGGATCCTTTTGCTCATAAAAAATCATCTCATTATTACACCGAGCTCCTTTTCATTGAGAACACAGAACACTTTGGAAGGGAACGGCAGAACTCAAACAGCTGGGACTGGCCTGCTGCCAGAACTTGTTTTTTCCCTTTAAAAGCAAAGGTTTGTTGGTTTGTTTCCTTTGACAAAAAGACCTGTTTGGTTAGAGCAGAAGAAACGGATTTCTGAATATGCCCTGAGTGTGTATTTAAAATTATTTAAAGAAGACCACACAGGGTGCCGTGAAAACATAGTTCATTTTAAATTACGTGTGCGAACCATGTGTACATCAACAATAAAGATATCTGAACTAAACCATAATGCACGCCTCCATCTATAAGAACTGCATCTTTATTAACAGGTTTAATAACCTTTTCAAAGGTAAACAAAGAAAATACAGAAGCTTAGAAACAACAGATATTCAAGATAAAAATGCACCATTGTTTTGTGCCATGTTCTAATCATTACTGTATGTTCATTTTAAATAATCTATTTAAAGGTCATTTAGGTCTTAAAGAACTCTTTTCTCCACCATTGCTTTGGTCTTTGTACCCTGTGCTGCCTTGTGAATCTCTGCACCTTGTTGTAACTAACAAATTGTTTGAAATAAATTGGCAGAAAATTAATTCATGAGACAAAATCATATCTGAAACAGTTTGCCTTTCTCACCAGCCTCATGCTGTTATTGTTAATGCTTTGACTTGAGAGGTTACTGATTTTCTGCTCTAATAAATGTTCAACATAGCTGCACATTTTGGTATTCTGACACCCCACAGTGAATCCAGGGATATTCATTTAAACAGAGAGATTATGATTCCAGATAAGAGATGCACTTTTATCAAACATTGTCCTGCACCTGACTGCGTGTTTGTCACTCCACAGGCTGCTACCAAGAAAGTGCTCTACAGAATGTATTAGAAAATGCAATCGTGCGTGAAATGTCTCTTCTGACACCTCAGGTTTTCAAAAAAGCTCTGGCTCAAAAAAAGTGCTGTTTACTGCTGCTTTGCACCTCCTGTCTTGTTCCAATTCTATTTCAGTGCAAAAGTGGTACATTACGCATGGAAATATTCTGCGGTGAATGAATTTTAATTATTTCAGCTGGCAATGGCAGAACACAGCAGATCGAATCAGAAATGGAGTGAACAAAGCAGAGGTTCCATAGAATTCTTCTCCATGCTTGAATCGCTTATAAAAGTCATCAAAAATTCCTTGCTTGAGAATGTGTGGTTTTCCCCATTGCAAACTATTTTTTTATTTAACAAGCTTACAAAAGAACAAAAAAAAAACTGTATTTTGAACAGCTTGCCCTCAGCACTGGATTTTAACATAACTGCAGCTGATGAAAATGTGATCGGAATCTGTTCATCACAGTCATATTAATACTGCAGCAGCTCCGGTTGACCACTTTTAGTCCAGAGATGGACGGTTCAGGACTACACTGCATCACTAGGGGACAGAGTTCCACCGGTGAACAAAATTGCAAGTGATTCTATATTTTCTTAGTTGGAATCAGACAGGGTTATCTCCAGCCTTCTTAGCACTGGCACCCTTCCTGTGAGCTTTTAATTGTGTTGATGGAGAACTGCAACATGCGGGCAGGCAGCACTACTGTAAGTCTGACAAACACACTGTTGGACTTGCAGTATGAAAAGTGGCTAGGTGCATGTTTTATAGGCCAGCATGGTCTTTCTCCACCTCACCCTGCTGACACCCTGTGCGAAGGCTTCCTCAGCGGCTGGCGATTCCAGACTACAGATGGGGAGGACCAGAACAGGCAGTTCCATCTTTAACAACTGAAGAACAAGGGGAATGTTCGCTGCCTGTGCTGTATTTTGTAGTGGTGAGCTGAGGTTGGAATTTGGCTTTCCAAATCCGGGAGTGAGAACGTGGGATCTAAACAGATATCTCCTCTCTACAGACAAGATCACAGCAGAACCTTTTCCTCACAGCAATCAGCAACCCAGGCAGCTGAATTCTTAATTTACTATTCACAAATGTTAAACTCAAATGCTAAAACCTTTACTCACTATTGAAGTAAAACTGCTGACAAACTCTGCAATTACATAAAAATCAATATGTTATTATGTGCAATTAGCTGCTTCTTAGTCCACTCTGGGACTCGGCCAATTCTAATTTTACACTTAGCATACCAAGCAGAAACAGTACTAGAAATCTCCTTCAGGGCTTCTCACACCAAGAGCAAATAATAAACTGAATGCAAAAATCCATAGATAAACATATGTGATTAAAAATGCTCCTCCTTATTGTTTTTCTATCTGAAAAGATCAAATCAATGTCAGATCATAATTTAATTTCTAAACTATTGGCAGGTATGTCAGCTATTGACAAAAATATTTCACAAGAGACCTTAGAAAGATTGAACAGTCCTGTCGCACACATGTGGTTAAAAAGGTCACACTTTAAGTAAATTCTTATAAATTGAGCTGCCTCGATACAAACACAGAAGTTAATTAAATTAAGGGGCCAAGCAAAATCATGTTCACAAAAATTAGATGAAAGAGCAAAGGACCACTCATTCCAACAAACCTGGCTTGAATGCACCAGCAACGTATAGTACTGTAGTGTCTAGATTCAAATGAATTATTTTTTGGATTTTAAGACACCTCTCTTCACACACGCCACCACATAACACACACACAAAGTGTGACTTTTTCAGGCTCCAATATTGAGCGCAGACCAAACTGTCCAGAAAACCATCTGCCTTCACAGAGGCGTGAAGTACATCAGTGAAACATGAGCCAGAAGGCAGAAGTAAAAACAATGTGGAAGTGCACTGGAAACCGAAACCAGGAGGTACTTCTTTACCTAGAGGAATGTGGGAGTGCTCTATATCACAAGCTACCCAGCAATCTCATTAAAGCCAGTACACTGGCGTCCTCGATGAAACAGCTGGATGAGATACTTGGATCCATTAACTACTAACAACCAAATGGGCTAGACAGGCTGAATGGCCTCTTCTAATTTGTAACCTTTCTTATGTTCTTCCCAGGCTGAAGCCATCAAATAAATCATACCAAAATATACTATACAGGAAATATACCATGTTATAAAACCAAATATGACCAGTTAATAATTTATATCCTGGGAAACATGTATACGGTATTGCAATGAGCACAGTGGCTGTTGAAGTTTGTGTGTGGTAACAACAATAGATGTACTGTACATAAAGAAGACAGAGGAGCCGACTGCAGGGGGTGATGTTACCCCCACTGCACACAGCTCTGCTCCTGGGCCTCTTCCAGAGCCCTTTTAAATCACCTGCTGGAAAAAAAGTGCTTTTCTCAGTCGTAGAAGGACAATACACTGTCCTCAGTCTTACAGTCTATCTTATGGAAGCACAAGTTTTCCAGCTTCTTTTGTCACCTGTGCTGATGGACCGAATAAAGCACACACATTCCAAAGCAATCAATGTTCATTAATCTGTCAATCTCCTGCCACGGTCTTTAAATAAAGAGTGACTGTCTTGCAATTACATGGACATCACATCCATTCTGCAGTGCTTTTATTCTTCTGCTCAATCAAAAATAAACTCCAAGAGAATGTGTGCAAAACAAACAGCTTCAGGACTGCCCTGCTGTGTACCCTTTAGAGTCGCAATTGTCCCTCCACAGTCGCCACCAGGAATGCCAAGGAAAATAATCCCAAACTCAGCCTGCAGGTGATGGGCAAGCGGCTGCTGATTTTACAGGACACCAAGGGCTTGTTGGGTCTAAGCCTTAACCTCTAATACGCTGATAATTACACCATCCGGATTAAATAAAATACAGAAAATGGTGGCACAATGCACAATGTTTTGTTGCATAATATTTTGTTAGCTACCATATATTCAGTGACTTCCTCTAAAACTGTAAAATATACAGTATATTCTCTAAAAGACAGAAAACACTGATTCTGGACAAAGGTGGAATCTCTGTCTCATGGATGACTGTAGCAAGAGGCCTGAATGCAGTTTCTACTGATCTGCATCACCTGTGTCGCCAACTATTGTAACACAGACATCAGCTCAAACCATCCTGAATATTCATAAAACCCCCATCAATCTTTCTGAACCTTGTTCTCAGTCTCACACAGGAAATGTTTCAAGACAATAAGACTGATGTGTCACCATTTTACAGGACTGCCTATCAGCATAGCGACTGCTATGCAGTTCCACTAGGATTGATTGTGGTTGCTCACAGTCACCTCCAGCTTCTTGAGCCACCAGGACAGTGGTGAACTCCACCGTGCCAAAGTGCTGGGCCTTCTGACACAGAATGTGACACTATCCAGGATCCTCTATGACAGGCTCAGTGCTGAATTAGCCTTGTTACATCAAAGCATCTACTACATACTGTAATTGAAAAAATAAGATAGGTATCTTGATGTACAGTACAACATGTACCAAGGCAGCACACACTGAATTGGGCACACACAGTACTGCTGCATACTGCACAGCACTCATTCCTCCTGCCACTGCTCTCCTTGATATGCACAAATACATCATTACATGATCTGCAAATGCTGTTGTCAGCTATGCTCTAACTGCATTTTCCAATTACATGGGAAACAGAAAACCTACTGTAGATGTCCTGCTTCGTATATCAGAAATGTGACATTCAGACTTCCCTCCAGAAAACAGATAGCAATGGATCAGAGAAAGAGTAACACTAGGTGTCTGTGCAATTGTGCTACTTCACTGAAGAGAAAAATCAAAAGCTCAGTGAGGCTAATTTTAAATTCTAATGAAAAATGTACATCTGGAGGGAGAGTACAATTTGAAGTCAGTGCCACTCTTCATACTGTAATTAGGACAGAAATTACACATGAAAAAGAAAGGTTTTATTAACCTGAAAGCTTGGTATGTTCATCTTGAAGTGAG